TGGTGTTTATATTTTATTTTGTTAATTTTTTTTTCTGTACTGGGGATTGAACCCAGGGCCTTTGCACTGAGCCCCAGCATCTTTTAAATTTTTATATTGAGAAAAGGTCTTGCTAAGTTATTGGGTTGCTCAGGCTGGTTTCTAACTTACTATCTTTCTGCCTCAGCCTTGCAGAATGCTAGGATTACAGGCATGAGCCACCACACTCGGCTAGTCTTGGTATTTTGCTGAGGATTACATTGAATCTGTAGATCACTTTGGGCAGTATGGACATTTTAACAATGTTAGTTCTTCCAGTTCATGAACGTAGGAGGTCTCCTCATCTTTTTGAGTCTTTTTCAATTTCTCTCACCAGTGATTTGTAAATTTTATTATAAAGATCTCCCAATCCCCTGGCTGAATTCATTCCTAGGTATTTTTATTTCTGTGTAGCTATTGTGAATGGGACTGCTCTCATGATTTCTTTCTTACCAAATCTGTCATTGGTGTATAGAAAAGCAACTGATTTTTGTATGTCAATTTTGTATCCTGCTAATTTCCCAGATTCATTCATCAGTTCTGGCGGTCTTTTGGTGCAGCTTTTAGGCTTTCCTATGTATAGAATCATATTATCTATAAACAGAGACAACTTGGCTTCCTTCCTTCTTATATATATGTCATTCATTTCTCCAGCCTAATTGCTCTGGCTAAAACATCAAGCACTATATTGAGTAAGAGTCATATTTCTAATGTTCTTTGTGTTGAGGGTTGCAGATAGAGTAAGAAGTTCTGTCACTGCTGTGGAGATCTCTTTGGTTAGTGGTTATCATCCTGTGGTGTGACTTTGACTCAAGCACCTATTCCCCTGATTCAATGTATTATTAGGTTCAGTCCCTGTCAGGCTGTTCCTTGTATCCACTCTAGACACAAAGAACAAACCTTGTATCTGTACCAGAGCATCTCTCTGCACCATTCCTCTCTGGCTTTCTGCACCCTACCAGTCTTCCCATCTATGCATTCCCCTGTAGCTCTCTCCTTGACTGTATGCAGCAGCTTCTGCCTGGTCTCTGCCTCTGTGGATATATCAGTCAGTGCTCACTACAGAAACAGATTTCATGCAAGATATAGAAATATATAAGAATTTACAAGATTGGCTTGTAATGGGTCCACACAGAGTCAAGTGTGGAAGAGTACCAATGGTCTGTCTGCACACTGGAGATCCAAAGGATCCAGTCGAAGGCCTGGAGCCCACTGTAGGGTCCCGTGCGAGTCCATGTCAGGAGGCTGAAGGGTCTGCACTGAAAGCGCAGAGAGGACGTCCGAGCTGAAGGTAAAGACTGGAGCTCCTCTGAAGAAACAGAAGCATTCCTTCCTTCTTTGTTTCCCTTTTAACCATTCTGGCCACAGTCCTCCCTAGGGTGGGTCTTCAACACCCAGAACTGTGCTGAGCCAATTTAATTGGGTGTTTCTGATTCAAATCCACACAATCAGTTAACTATCACAGCAGGACAAGTTGGGAATCATCTTTATTCTTTATTTGACTTACTGTGCTCTTCATTTGCAAGATTTCTGTGTGGTTCTCTTTCAAAATCTCTCTTTGCTGAACTTCCCATTCATATCCTCCATTGTCTTCCTAATTTTATTTAATGGTTTGCCTATGAACTCTTATATTTCATTGAGCTTTTAAAAATCCTTTTAAATTATTTACCAGGCATTTCATCTATGTCAATTTCTCTGGATCTGTTGCTAGAGTTATTATGATCCTTTGGAGGCATCGTGTTCCTGTTCTTTTATATTTCTTGTGCTTCTGTATGGAGTTTTTGCATTTGATGTTTCAGGTATCTCAAACTCATGGGTGACCTTCTTAAAAAGCAACTTGCTCCTAAAGCTGTTTCCCGTTATTCAGTGTTGGCTTTATTTCCATAGTGTAGTCTCCCTGTAGCTTCTTTGGCTGTGGTTAATGATATGTACCATGGCCAAAATGGAGAGACCATCTGTAGGCAAGGCAAGAATGGGGATGTTCTAGCCATTCGGGCAGGTGTGGTGCAGACAGCAGGGGTGTGGGGTGCTCATGGTGCACTATTCCCACAATGGGACTGATGGCTTCTATCGGGTGATGTGCACTGGATGCTGATTGTGCTACTAGCAAGGGCCTCTGGCAATAGTGGCCCATAGTGCTGAGGGCCCTGACACACTTGTCCTCCAACCAGGCACAGAGCAGGGAGAGGTGGTGGCAAGAACCGTAGCACCCACTTGTGGTGCTCACTCCCAGTCCTGACAACAGAGGGCAGCACTGCAGTGGTCACCATATGCATGGTGTGGACTCAGGCATGGTGATGTCTTCTCTGCTAGTGGCTCTGCAGGCCTGGAGGCTAGACTGCAGCTGGTACCGAGTGAAGTTCCTCTTGCCCTCTTTGGCTGTGTGTGTGCAAGGCTCTGTGATGGTTGGACTCAGGGCTTTTCTCCTCTGGCTCCTTCAGTCATAGCACGCACCCAGGGCCAGGCCTGTAGCTATAACAGAATTGCTCAAGGCCCCCAGCATGCCTTCGCTTGCCGATAAGAATCCAGATTGACAGTGACACGGGGCTTCCAGAAATGAAAAGTGATGGAGAATTGCTTCAGGATCTTGAAGGAATCCCAACAAACCAAGGTGGCTTCTCAAAGGAGCTCCAGGTGCCATACCCAGAAGGCAGGGTGGCTCAGAAACAGCCCAAGTGCTGAGGACACATAATGTGTGCCGGGTCATGTGCTGGGTACTTGATATGTGCCAGAACCTGGCCTGAAGACACCCTCGGTCCTGAGTTACAAGAGTGGAAACTTAAGTTCAGATGTTTGAGCAAGGTCAGGCATTTGGCGGGTACTTACAGTCATACTTTGGCGAAGCCAGACTTAAATCCCACAAAGCCTATTTGAAACATAGCTAAAGGAGATTTGTCTGAATGAGCAGGGGGTAGGCTGACATCCAAAAGGAGACAGCAGGCCTTCCTGGCACAGGGGAGAGACCACTGGGTGAGGGAGAGGCCCTGCCAGAAGTAAACAAAAGCAAGAGACCATCCAGCACTGGAAGTTCAGCAACAAGTTCTGATTCTGGAAATTTTCAAGCACGTACAAGATGTGATCAAAAGATACTATGAATGATTAAATTAGAAAACTATTACAGTAAAAGACAGACTGCTATTAGTCCCCGGCAAAATCTTCCCCTGCATGGTGAACACACTTATGCCATCATTCCTGCCACCTTCTGCAGCAGTTGGGAAGTCTTTTATGAGTAGCTTTAGTTGCACCATTGTGGTTGCCATGATGTCCTGAGTGGATTCTATGTTTTTCTTTCAAGGTCATTTTGACTTTGGGTGAAAACCAGATCAGGTAGATAACGTGACCTAGATTGGTGGGAACTGTGACAGCAGTTACCTTGGGGAGGGGACTGATTGAGCTGGCGCCCATGCAGTGGGCCAGGGTGCCACAGACTTTGGGACGTCCTCAACTCCCTCAGTGGAGTTATTCATTATGAATTCTGTCCAGGCTAGCTGGTTTTGTTTTTGCTGAAAAATATCTGTGATCCATACATGCTGTCATCTGCACCAGGAGTTTGTGTTCTGTGTCTCTGCCATGTTCCTTTGTGTAAGTGAACCAGAGTTCCATATGCCACTATGGAAGGACATTTGGATGTCCTGCTAGGTACACTGCCGGATGAGTATCTGGATCCAGTGGACTCTTGACCTATGAACTCAGTTCATTCCTGAGGGCTGGTTATAACTCACGTTGGTCAATGAAGGCTCAGGCTCCTCTACACAGCCTTCAGAGATTCTCTCCTGTACATAGGCAGATCTCAGTGTCCTTAGAGAGACAGTGGCCCAGGATGTCTCAGTAAACCCCACCCAGGAAAGGATGTTGTAATGGTCCTTCCAGAACTCTTTAAGGGTTAAATCTGTATCTGAGACCATTTGGAAGCACAAGTGGCCGGCATTTGGGTCATAACTCAAGACTTTGGTCATAAGTTAAAACTAAAATGCCAGTCATAACCCAAGTTCGTATGTCTGGCTGGTCGTAACTCGAGGGTCCACTCTAGATGTGAGTCCCACTCCTATGTGTTGGGCATGTGCTCCGAGCCAACCAACTCCCAGACAGGCTTATGTTCCACCTCGAGGACACAGCAGAGTGCTCCAAGTGGCAGAAGCAGTGTCCCCTCCCCTCTGCATCCTTACCGGTCTTCCCCTGTACAATTCCCAACTTAGGAACATTTGAGTTGCAAACTTTCATGGGTGTACTATATAAGACTGACTTTGACAGACAGAGACCAATCTGACCCATGAACAATTCTCCCAGAATGGAACTTGTTCGTAAGTCAGAGACTTAACTGTACTTGTAGCCCTGCTGAAAGCTGCCTGGTGCATGTCTTTGAAGTTTTAGTTTGCTTTTGTCTGACAAGAAATGATGCTGAGTGTGTTTGAAATGCTTACCGGTATTTCAGGCCTGTGTGTGTGCACCAAGCATCCTTTTAGATATACTGACCATTGGTTTAAAATCTCTTTCTGAATGTAGCCCTTTCACAGCTACTTGCATCTCAGCTGTCTTCTCCCAGCCCAAAGTTTTCCTCTTCATTCTCCTGAAGGTCTCATTTGAGGGAGATGTTCTTTGGATAAAGAGCATGGGTCATCCTTTGCATTGCGATAATGCTTTTCCTGTTCTGTCTCATCAATGTTTCTCCTTAAGATCTGTGGGAGTGTTTTTAACTAAAGAACTACATGGAGATGTTCAGGACATTCTCAGGACCCTTGGAATGGATGAGACAGGACAGTGAAGTATGGTTCTCCGGATCCCTCATCAGAGCCCGCCCTTCTCACCCCTCCAGGCCTGGCTCAGTTCCTCTCTGCCAGGAGATGGCTGCTGCCATGGCAGCCCAGTGGGGCAATCCCACATGCTGGGACCTTCTTAGAGCGTAGGCTGAGCCCTGCTCCTCAGCAGCTGCCCCTCAGGGACACCCAACCCAGACACAGCACAGAAAGGACACGACGACCACGGTCATTCGCCAGATATATTTGAAGTCTAAGCTCTTTGAGCTGTACACGTGCACAAATGATTCAGTTGGTGGGAGTCTGCCACTTCCCTTCCATAGGAAAAATTTTTCAAACTTACAATAGTGCTAAAGAAGTTGCATCATGTGCGGCATGGAAATGCTGAGGCGATCAATTGCGACTTTCACAGTGCGAGGAGGTTCCACTGAGGCATGGCAAGGGGCCCTACACTTTCTCTCATCTGCATTCTGGAAATACAGGATAGCTTAAAAAGCCAAGGACCCACATGAGACAACAGTTCAGCATCTCTCACTTGCCTGATGTAATTGTGTTCCTTTGAAAAGCTAAGTTCCGGTTCCTCCACCAGAGGGCACCCTTTATCCATCACTAAGTCTGTCCACCAAAACTCTAATCCTCCCCTGCAAAAGACTTATCCACTCCTCAGATTTTATTTTTAAAAGGAGTCATTTCCCCTATGGAAACTCAGGATCTTAGAAGCGATGCTCTCCTCAGTTTCACCTGTACTGCATCCAGTATTATATTGCTATATTCACAGTAGAACGGACTTTAAATTCTGAGTAATCAGTCTAGGCTTTAAGTTTCTGAGGAAACTAACGTACACCTTAGTCAGAAACCACAACAATCCTTCCATCGGTTGGCTGTGTTATTGTTCTTGCCTGTGTGTCTGAGGCTTAGGTAATGAAAGTGCTTCCCCACTCCTCGATCGCCAGCATTTGCATCTAAAGGAAGTCGTTTACTGCGCAGATGGAGCGGAAGGTAATGGTTCTATAGGTGTATCTTCTGTAATGCACTTCGGGCTAGAGAATAGAAAAACCACATGTAACGCAAACAAATAACGTTTCTGAGCATGTGGGCCTTGCACAAGTAAGATCAGCAGACACCTGCCATCTTTACCCACTCTAATATGCTCAGCTGCTGCTGCATTCTGGAGATTTAGCTCCCTCCCAATTATCTATGACTGACACACTTTATTTAAACACAAATGGTCTCGATAGCAAAGATGTTGGCTAGTCGCTTATCTATCGGCACGAGACGCTTTTGTGTCCTTTCAGACTTCAGTGTTCTCCATCATACTGTGTAATATTATCAGATTATCTGCGTTAGTATATGAATGCATTCATAAGCAATGCACATATTATGTTTTAAAGCAGCGAATGGTTGGACAATCTCTAAATAAAAAACATCCAGATATTAAAAGCACAGCTGAAATATTTGTACAAATATACAAAGAGAAAAGAATAACCGTTCAGACACCGCAAGACTTTTGTAATAAACAGGTTTGTCTGAAATCTGTCTCCATCACCCTGGACGAGCCTCCCCAAAGCGACTGGGAAGTTCTGCATGGAAGAGGTTGGAGATCTGGGGAGGGCATCTTTGGGGCCAAGCTCAGTTTTGCCTCCGGGAATTTTAACAGAGCTATGAAGTATTTATTGATTCAAAATTGTGACTCTGCCCAGACTCGTTGAACTGGGTGATGCTGATAATCTTCCTAGTCTAGAGAGGACATGGCTGGATGCTAACAATCTGTGAGTTAGAATATCCTCAAATCATGAAAATAAATGCTGGTGATCATGCATGTCCTGGGAATGTCGGGATGCAGAGGACTGAGTGAGACCAGACAGGGAAATCTCATGCAGTCAAAGTCAAGCTTACTTATGGTCCTATTTACGTGGCCAGGAAAAAAAAAAAAAAAAAAACAACGGGCACATCAGGACGGGGACTGAAACAGCTCACAAACAACACTGATGCTATTTGTTACTGATGTCTCTGGCTTAGGTCAACACGAGAATGAAGATATCGGCTGTGCTCATTATTTAATAAGAAAATACTACTTTTTTCCCTAGGACTTTCTAGAGGATGGGTTATACATGTCACAAGTATGATATGAGCAGGAGACATCACCTTTGCCTAGCCCTTTCGTCTGAGAGGCTTGATTTCAAGGAAGGAATCTCAAACAACCAAATACCCAGGGATTTGAAGGCAATTAATTTTTCTGACAAACAACGGGAGTGGGGAAGCATGATAAAGAGGAGACAGATATTATTGTCAAGGTGGAGCAGTCAGCTCAGTTGGACACAGAGGGTGGCAGGCCAGGACGCCGGGTCTGGATGATTTTTGGCTTTGGGGAAGTCTTTGGCTCTTCCTCTTCCTCTATGTCACTGTCACACACGTGCACCACGACACTTGGGGTGGACTCAGTCCCTGCATGGAGCTCATACTTCTCTCCTAAAAAGCAAGAAACACAGGGTTGACAGACAGAAGGGGTTTCAAAGCAGATTCTCTGGCAAGGTTTGTTCAGGAAGTGAAAAGAGGGTCTTATAGGGGCTCATAAATCCTGGGATCTCAGATGGTGGGGTAGGGGGCAGAAGAGATGGGATGAAAGTGACCTGTCATTGGATCCCGAGGGAACAAGGTTTGGCCTGCAGTGTAGTAGTGTTGAGAGGTGGTGCTGTTGGGAGATGATTGGATCAGGAGGACTCTAACTGGATTAATCCATTAACAAATTAATCCACTAACAGAGCTATAAGTTGATAGTGTTACTAAGAAGTGAGGGAGATTTAAGTAGTGCAGCCCGGTTGAAGGGTGCATGCTCTTTGGGACTTTTTTTTACTCCGCCCCTTCCTCTGGTTCTTTCCATCTCCCTCTGGTTCCTGACTGCCATGAAGTGTGCAGCTTTCCTCTGCCACATCGTTCCATTATGATGTTTCTGCCTCCCTCACCACTCAAAGCAAGGGAGCCAGCTGGCCACGGACCGAAACCGTGAGCCAAAACCAACCTTTCCTCCTCTGAGTTATTTTGTCACAGTTCCAGAAAGCTCCCTAAGGCAATATCTCCACTTCAGAAGTGGCTAGTCCCTCTCCCACCAGGTTGGGACAGGGGCTTTCAAGATGGGAGAGGACTCCGCAGGGTGCAGAGCACCTTCCTCATTAAGTTAACTGAGTCAGCTCGCTCAGGAGTAGAGGTATTGTGTTGCCCTGATCCTATTAAGGCTGACATTTCATTGTTCTATTTTTGGAAACTTTCTTACTATCAGAATCCACTAAAGCCTAACAGCTGCTGAGAGCCTACAAAATGAAAAGAAATGACTTTGGTCTTGCTGGATTGAATTTTTCTTTTTTGGGCCTCTTTTTCCCTTTGGGCTTCAGCTAATTCCTTCACCTGGAGAACTGACGTCAATACTGCCACCATGCAAAAGGCCCAACTGGGCTTAGTTGGGGACATGGAGCCAGCCAGGCCCTGTGTCACCAGGGTGGCACAGGCCCTGCCTTGGTCCAGTGACGACAGGGTCAGCATTCCTTTAGAGGACAGTGCTCATCTGTCACATCCCCTCTCCTCTGTCTATTGAAACTGTCCTTTCCCTGTGCAAGGAAAGGAGGCCAGGATTAAAGCCATCAAAAATGCATGGTTTGGGCTTTCTGTCCATCCTCACTGAACGAATTCCCAGCAAGCACACAAAAAGTCCTCTAGCACTGACTGAAAAACAAACTCTTAGCCAGGCCTCTGGGTGTATCAGAAGCCTGACCACTGCTCAAAAAGAGAAGCCCTGTCTCCCCTTCTCCAGTGGCTGGGGACTGGTTGGTGACCAGTTCCCAATTCCCACATGAGTGGAGGAAGTTACGTGGGTGTACTTGGCTGTTTCCTGTTTTAGGCGGGGAGGACTCTGCTGACTGTGGGGCCGTGGATGTGGTTCCGGTACAATCCCAGCACTCCTTCTTCAGTTGAGGTACTAATCAGTGTGGTTACCATTTCTAAAAATCAGCGTGGGGGTGATGGAGAGTGATACAGAGCTGTGTGTGTTGATGCAGAATTGTGACTCATTGTTCATATGCTTAGCCACAACTTTTCTGATGGAACAAGAAATCTTCCTCAAACTTGAGGCCCCCAGGACAAGTTCTTTCATTGTTCTGCTAAGGAACCCACAGAACCCCTGCTAGAGGTATTCCAAGTACAGCAAAGCCCAACCGGTGCAAGATGCTGTCTGTCGTCCTCGGCACCGGGGCTCTTCCAGGAAGATTATCCTGTTGTTCTTGCCACTTTCTGCAGCAGGCCTGGAAGTCTTTCTTCATGAGTGTCAGTCCCATGGCTGCCTCAATGACCTGAATCGATTCAAAACATTGACCTTTCATGGTCATTCTGGCTCTTTTGGTAAGAGCCAGAAGTTGCACAGTGCCAGACTTGGTAGATAGATGGATGAAGACACACTGCCGTATTTTTAAGAGCCTGCTTTTCTGTTGGATGGCTCAGCTTTTGCTCACATGTTGTAAAAACTCTCAGGGAAGAGGACCTTCAGAACTGCTCGGGAAAGCAGCAAGAATGATGGGATGAGTGTGGCTGAAGTGAGCAGGAGTATTTGCGAGTTTAATGGCAACATATCTTTTATTGTAATACGGTTTTTGAAATTTGAGCATTTGCCATATTCTTTGGTCACCCTTGTATATAGTTCCCCTGTTGCTCTACATTCATCAACAGAAGGCTCCTCGCCGTGAGAGGCAAGAGGTGGAGTCTGCAAGGACTTGTGTGCAAGTTCGGGTCGCGCATTCTTTTTGGGATGGGGCCATGCTGTCCTCCCTTTCCCGCTGCTATAGGCTGGGCTATAGGGACACACAGCCCACAGTGATGCTACTGGAAGTACTTATGGGAGGGGTAAAATCTGCTATTTGTCTCTTCCCATTTTTTGTGTATCTTTTCAAATATTCTCCCACGTGGACATTTTACCTATGAAATAAGGTAGTATTTTATGTCACCATTCCATGGTAATTGGAGAGGAATTGTAGGAGATATGCTGGGTGAAAAGCTCCTTAAAATATTTTCCTGGGGAAAATTCTTGGAAAGGAAATGGGAAATGAGGAATCTGTGTTCCAGGACCACAAACCTGAGTCCTTTGGGTGAGGAACAGCACATAGGAGCTGACCTGGCTGGAAAAGCAGATTCTAGTGGACTCATGTGCTTTCTCCTGTGATCAGAATAGTATAGCAATTGCTGAACAAGAACTGAGGCTTACTGGAATATTCATCCCACATGCACCGAAAATATAGGGGCTCATCTATATTTTAAAAACTGATCTTTTTTTTTTGGTACTGGGGACCAAACTTGGGTCCTTGTGCTCCTGAGGCAGGTGGCGGAACCACTGAGCTAAATCCCCGGCCCTATCTTTGTGTGTGTGTGTGTGGTACTGGGGATGGAACCCGGGTTGATCTTTTTTTCTACCTCTGAATCAGGGCCTAGAATAGAAAATATTTCTTCCTTCTAAGTTACATTAATTAATGAAATGTATTTTCCATCTGAGGGAAGCAATGAGTACCAAGTGTAACACCAGCAAAACTGCTCTACTATGGCACGTCTGGATGGAGCAGAATTTGGGAAAAGGTCTAAATATGGCAGACAGACGCAAACTTGAAACTCGAGCACCATTTTAAATCCTCCTCTGCAGTTAACTCAAATTGATCTAACAGGAGCTAAAAATAGCAGAAGGAAGAAAGAGGAGAGACAATGACTTTTCACACTGCTCCCTGCAGGAATTTGCAGTGACAATGGCCTTGGCCTTGACCTTCTAGAGCATCAGGCAGCAGAACAAAGCCAGGCACTTTGAATCCAGCCTCTGATCTGCAGCAGCTTAGCAGCACCTGCATCTCCATGCTGCTGCCATTTCTGCTGATTGGAGCAGAGAAGCTCTTCTGAGGGGCTATGGTTTGTTTTTTTGTTTTTTCCTATTTTGTTTCACATCGAAAAAGAACGTGACATTGCACTGCTTCTGGAAGTAGATTAGATGCTATACAATAAATATTCAGTTTATTGTCTACCTCAAGGTCAGAGGTCTTCTTGGTTGATTTAGGTCCCTGGAAAGTGATGGTGTCTATGACTACAGATCCACGGGGTCGGTGGGGGGGGGGGGGACCGGGAGAAATGTGTAAGCCTCCATTTCCTAGCAACTGTTTCTTAAACAGAACAGAATTTGGCAAACTCGGATCTCCAGGTACCACCAGCCAGCAGATGAGGCTAAGGGATGTGCCTTAACCTAAGGGGGCAGGGGTATGGTCAGGAGGCCCATGGCAAACACAAAGGGCAGAAGAACCAATGTGTAAGTTCTGTACTTTTACAATTTCCTTTCACAGCAATCTTGCATTTCTTTTGGACAAATTATTTTACCATTCAAGAGATCTTCTGGTTTCTTAAGTTTTTCTGGATGGGTCCATTTTGCTTCTTGCTAGTGACAGAGGGACATATTTTGACCCTCGTGGTGCAGCCTGAGGCCGGAGATTGAATCATTCTGTGCCTGTGGGCTATGGAATGACAGTAACAATCACTGCAGTCTGAGAGCATTGAATGAAATAACAGAGTAAGGTGTTTAGAACAGTGCCTGCCATATCGTAAGCCCCATATATATAAGTGTAGGTCACTGTAGTTTTTTTCCAATTTATCTGTTTTCCTTTCTGGATCAGAAATGAAATGTGCAATGATTAATGATGTTTGGAATCTGCTCAGTGTAGAGCACTTGTTCAGCTTATATGAAGCTCTGGGTTTCATTCCCAGCACTGTTCAAAACAAAACGTTTGATATTGTGCCTCTCACAATTTCCAGATTATGAACTAGCTCCCACTGTCATAAACAGAACTGACAGAAACTTCTCAAATGGGATTGGCCATCATCTCTAGTTAAATTTCCTTAAGGGTTTCCATGGAAACCCACAGTCGGGGGCTTTGTAACTGCACAGTTCTCTCCTGGCTGGTTCCAAGGACCTTTGTAGAACTTTCTCACCTGACCTGTCCCTCCCTGCAAGAGGGTCACCAGCATCCCTTTTTGTAAAGAACAGGCATACAGTTTTGCCCCTCTCGAACCCAAGCGAGCCCTGTGTCCCCACCCTTCCTTCTGTCCTCTGTGCAAGGTCCCGATTTGGCCTGTCCTGGCCTCCCTGGGCAGCAAGTGGGACGTCTGAAAGCTCCCACACCCTGTGGGTTGGCCGAAGTAATCCTAGCTTGAGCCCTGTCCCCAGATGCCTGCTCCATGCCGTTTTTTCTGGAGAGGAACTTGTCCCAGCAGCCTTAGGTTTCCTACCCCTCCCCCCCACGCCACCCCCCAGCGCCAGTCCTTGATCACGTGAGCTGCTTTTCTCTACTCTGGTTCTCATTTGTGCCTCAGCTTCTGGAGCTAAAGTAGCCATTCTCTTAACATCAAATGATTGTTACTGGAATGATTCTACCAAGGGATTAAGAATGAACTTCACTAAACCTTTTAAAAATGGAAATGCTAGAAGTCCTTTCATTATTGAAAACATTAATTTAGTGCTGCTTGACTCAGTCTGGCTAAAGCCTTAGGAGGCAACACTTTGCTAGTGAAGACAGGGACTCTCAGTCAGCTAACAGGTCTTCTATTCACTTATGCATTCGTTTATCCATCCAGTATTTACCGAGCATCTGCTGTGTGCCAGGTGCTATCAGGGGCTGAGAATGCAAAAAGAAAAATAGTGTGCATCTTCTCCTTGAAAAGTAGGGAAGACAAGGAGCTGAAAGGAAATTACTTTGAGGAGGAGTGGGAATATGGGCTAAGACCCACAGGGCACTTTGGAGGAGCTTCTTGCCCTGGGCTCTCTCTGGAGAGACTCAGAGACATGGGTGGGAGGATTTAGGGTGCAGAAGGTGGCTTGAGTGTGTCCCCCAAGTTCACTGTTGGAGCCCTAATGCCCACTGTGGCAGTGCTGGGAGGCACCAAGCCCTCTGGAATGGGTTAGTGCTTCTTTCCCAGGAGCAGGTTTGGCTTTCATGGGACTGGACTTGTTATCACAAGGGCAGGCTGACATAAAGCAAGGCCACTCCCCGTCCCCAGGCTGTCTCTTGCACGCATGCCCAGCAGAGCCGGTGCCCTGTTCTTGGACTAAGCAGGCTCCGGACCTGTGAGCCGAGCAACCCCCTTCCCTATACATGACCCCAGCCCTGCCACAGCAACAAAAGCAGACATTAACTACTCAATTATTGGCTCTGAATCATTTATCCACATGACCTCAGGAAGCAAAAAGAAACAACTTCAAACTGCTCGTAAGTACAGGAGCAAAAGACACCTCCAAAGGCTTCCAAGTTGCATCTGTCCACAGACACATCAGTCACCCTTGAAAAGCAGAACAGCTCTGATAATCATGCACGCACACAGCAGTGTACAAATCTCCATCTGCACGCACTCTGGACACAGCCCAGGCTTTCCGGAAGTCCGGGTGGAGTAGAGAGAACTGCCAACCCGCAGTGAGGACAGATGTGCTACCAGTGCCAAGGCAGAACAGGCCCAAGGCAGCCAGCATCTGGCCCATCGCTCCCTGGATTCAGAAGACCCAGGATCTGGAATTCGCCTATCACCAACCAGCTGTGACACCTCCGGGAAACGCATCCCTCTCTCTCCCACTCAGTCTCCAGATCTGTGGCACAGGGATAATCACAGCTCCTGTCTCGGGGCTCAGCACACAGCAGGGGAACCCCTCATGGCAGCTGGATGTTTGCTGTGATAAGGGAAGGTGAAGGGCACAGGCGGGCGAAAGCCTGCACCTCAGCACTGGGGACCAGAGACTCACAACTCTTACCCCTTTCCTGCCTTTGAGACCATTTTCTCCTCCCTCCTCTGTCCCAGGGGCTGGTCCAGCAGTGGAAGAGGCCAGCGGGGCTCTGAGGGTCAGCAGGTCTGACTCAGTCTGGGCCTCCTTTTAAAGAGTGAGGTCCGGGCTCTGTCATGGGTGAGTTATCTACTAGCTCTTGGAACACAGTTTCCCATTCTATAAAATTCAAGTCACCCCAGTGACTGCAGCCTTAGGAATTCTGTGAGGAGTTCCATTTGCTGACATTCAAATCAGCTCTGTCAAGTGTTCCAGTGTGTCCCTGTCACTGTCGGTGCGGGGAATCACCCTGTAGTCCCAAGGACCTGGGCTCTGATCAGGCCACTGGTGGGACGTACTTGCTTGCTACCAAAGTGGCTTCCCAGAGCTTGGCTTGAAAGAATCCAAACAGGGCCAGTAATGCACTTCCCCAACAGGGAGTGCTCCAGCTCAGGATTCCAGGAAGTCCTGTCTCACAAACTCCGCCCTCATATTACATCACTTCCTTCCCTGACTCCTCTTAGACACCCACAGCTTCACAGAGTAACTCTTTGGATGTGAACCTTAGGGCCATTTCCAAGGCCCCAGGAGCCAAGTGACTCATGGATGACTACAAGGAATCCTCAGGAGCTTGCTCTGAAGGATGCTTGTAATTTAATTTCAGGCCTCAAAAGTGATAGCCAGCAATTCTGTTGCAGGGAGGGTTTATGAATCAAACCTGCCTTTATCTGAGGACCCAGCAGGCTCAAAGTGCTTCCTGGTTTGCCCGGAAGCCTCCTGGTGTTAGACCTGACTGTCCTACATCCCAGGAACCCATCCAGCCTCAGTGAACTGGGTTGGAAAATGTCATTGTCCACAAGAATGAGCACATGGGACCATTCAAACTAGATTTCTGACATGGGTCTGGCCCCAACATTTTCCTGACCACACTATGAAATACTGGCATGAACTCATTGTGAATTTATTCTTCCTGGAATCTAACATTAGGCTTCTAGTGGTTCTTGAGCCCATTAGAATCAGCTGGGGGAGCTTTTAAAAAATGCTGATGCTTGAACTTTACCCCAAATCAGTTAAGTCAGAATCTCTAGGGGTGGGCTCAGAGCACTGGAATTGTATTTTAAAGCTCCTTTTCTCTTTGGCAGAAATCTCAGTAGACAGAGCTGACTTCTTGCCATTACAATGGCACCTTGGTTCATGAATGCTTTTGTTTGCAAACAATTTGGTAAAATTTAGTTTTTGTTTACAAACTCTACACTGGGTGACAAACATGACTGTGGCCATCTTTCCCAAAATCATGGAACAAATTAAGTTCGTGAACTGAGGTACCTCTGTATCCTGGGCTCCGTGGTGCTGAGGACTATAATTTGAGTACAAAGTGCTATCTACTGAAATTGAGGGCAATTATTCCTTCTGGGTATAAAACCTAGAGAACTATTTGGGCAAGTGCATAAGGAGATGCATATGAAAATGTTAATGGTAGCTTTGCTTATAATAGAAAAATCCTAGAAATGAAGTGTGGCGGTATGTTCACCTACTGGAATACTATCCTGGAATGAGAATGAGTGACTCGGAGGTACAGATACCAACATTGGAACAAAGGGACCACAGGACTTTTCTAAAGTTACAGGTAACTAGCCAATTTCTAGGGGGCTCCCTCAGGCAGACTGTCTTGGGGTGGCAGGCTCCTGGGTGTACGCTGATAACTCTGGCAGCAATAAGGCAGGGGTCCCCAGCAGAGCAGCCTCTTGCCAGCCAGTCCAGCCAGTCCAGCCCATCCTGCCTGTTCTGAGAAAGCAGCTTTCTCATGGGACCCAGAAAACCAGGAAAAATTAGGTAGCAGTGTCAGATCTTATGGCATCATTTTAGTACCATTCCCGCACTGCTTTTAAGCAGGTGCAAAGTTGGATGCCAAATTCTCATCCCTCCTCCTTCCTCCATTGTCCACACATGGCAATAAATCCACTAGAATCCCAGATGTTACTGCAACCCAGGCTTTCGGGGTGGGTGACCTTGTTTGACGTTTCTAGGCTGCTGACAGCTCACCTGGTCCTAGTTTGGCCACGGCATAGAGCAGGTCATAGTTGAGCACGGGCGTGGCGTCGCTGATGGGCTGCCAGCCCACGGGTGGTGAAGACGGGGGCGAGATGAGGAACTGCTTTGCAGGCTGGGGTGGTGCCAGGTGCAGCTTGTCTCCATCTGTCTCTGGGGTCTGAACCTGCAACAGTCAGGGTGAGACCCTGGGTCACTGTGGCTTTAAAGACGGCCTGCTGGTCCCTGAGAGGGAGCTTCGTTCTCAGGGACAGAGGAACCAAGGGACCAGAGTGTGATAGTGATTATTGCTTCTACACACCATCCCCCAGCTGTCTCCTTTGGTCCTCCGAACAATGGATCCCATCAGCACCACCTGGACCACCCTGGAAGTTCTGATGCAGGAGGCCCAGGAGGAGCCAGGGAATCTGCATTTCTAATGGGTGACTGAGTCCAGTCCTGGGCCACTCTTACCACAAACTGGCCAAATCAACCAGCCTTTCTTCTCTTGTCTCTTCCTCCCTCCCTGACTTCCTTCTTACTGAGGTAAAACTCACATAACATGAAATGAACCATTTTAAAGTCAGCAATCCAGTGGCATTCTTAAAGTTTTTGAACTGCCAGTTCCAAACCCTTTCTATCACTCCAAAGACAACCCTGAGCCCGTGATTAAACAATGACCACCAGTCCCTGGCACCCCAAGCTGCTGTCTGTCTCTGTGGATTCGCTGATATTTCACACACATGGAGTCAGAACACGTGACCTTCTGGGACCGGCTTCTTCCACTTAGTATAAGGATCATCACTTTGTCACATGTGTCCATGCGCATTTTCTTTCTTTTTATACCTGAATAGGCTTCCACTGTGTGAGCGTACTGCAATTTGTGCCTCTGTTGGTGGACATTTGGGAGTTTTCAGCTCTTGTCTATTGTGAATAGTGTGGCTGCGAGCACATGTGTGTCAATGATCCTCCTGCCATTCCTGTTCTCTTGCTTGGTGGTTACTCTGGAAGGCAAGGATAGGCTGATTGGGACTGGCATTTTTGACGTCTAGTTTGCGAGGCTGATTATTTTCCATCCTTATTTTTGGGGAAATTGTATTAGATACGAGTGTGTATGTGTCTTATATGTGTGTATATATTAATTCTTATGTATGCATGTGTTTTCAGTACCTAGGAGAGAAATTACTAAAAGAAAAAAAGGTAAGTCAAAAAGATTACTTTTGGTAAAGAATTACCTTACCTGTGCGAAGTAGAGTTTTAATTTTTTCCCTCTGAACTGGGTTTCATGAAGCTCTATCCTGGCTCGGGCTGCAGGTTTAGGGCTGCTGAAGTTTATCCGGACACGTCGGAAGCTTTTAAATAGCTGGAAAGTCACACAGTCATCATAGGTCCGGAACAGCCCTTCAAATTTTTCCTGAAAAGAACAAACCGGAAATCCATTGGTTGCGCATCTCATATATTGCCAGATCTTACAATAACAAGTAACTAAGTAGGTTGTAAGATACAATTAAAATCGATCACCAGTAATGTACTTTATCCACCTGCTGGTCTGATGGCAGGCGCTAAACATGCTAGTGAATTTAGTTGAAGGACTGGCAAACTTGATCAAGGGCTCTGTAGAGGACTAGTGAATAGGACTCAGCGTGCATGAAACAACTTGACAACTGTGCAAAATTGTGAGTGTTTCTGTCTGTGTGTGTGTGTTCTGGGGAGTGGGATTGTAGCTGCCATCAGGGTCTCAAAGGAATCTGTCATCTCCAAAACATTCACTGGTCAACAAAACCAAATGTGTGCAGAAACTCGACTAGAGTTTGTGTCTTCCTCTGAAGAGGACTTGGGTTCCAGGTGAGGAAACAGCCTCACTGGAGGTACAGTTGTCCCTGTAGGACTCTCCTTATCCTGGGCCACTAAGGAGCTGCATGGAGCACAAACAGCTTTTCCCCCATTTTTACCCCATCCAACAGTAAATTTGGTCTTGGCAAGGGAGAGGGCCCTCAACTGCATTAAAATGCTGAGATTTGGTGATTGTTTTACTCCTGCAGCGTAGCCAAGCCTATCAAAATACAAAGCAGTAATTTAAACATTTTGATTTAATGCACAATTCCAATTCAACTGAAAAAAATACCTATTTATTAAATGCTCACTTGGAACAAGGCCTGGCCCCTCTCTAGACCCCAGGGGGACATAGCCGCAGATCGTATGTTCTGCCCTTTGGTGAGCTAATAATTTTCCATGAGAGGCTGACACAAGAGAAGACCTGGAAGACTAGGAAAAGCATAAGAAGAGAATCAGCAAAGCAAAAAACATGTATATTAACACCTTCTCTCTGGTTCCTTTTAGCCTTTAAATAATTCCTATTATAAGTAAGACAAGCAGGGCATATTAAGCTACTGTGTGTTCTCTACAGGGAAACTGACACTAAGGAAATAACTTCTATTAAGAAAAACACACCTGCTTCTTTTATTTCACCAGGTCCTTTGTCATAACAGTGAACCTAAATGGGAAGGATGATGCTTGAACGATTAATAGTGCAAATCCTTACAGTTTAACTTGAAGTTGCCCTAAAGGTTGGCAAATTCAATCTTACCCTCTTCATCTCCACCACTTTACAAATTGGGATCCTGAGATCTGAAGATAGAAGGACAGACCCGTCCAAGGGTCCATGAACTATCCATCAGTAGCAGAGCCGTGGCCAACGAAGTCCTATGACCTTGGCCACAGAGATGCTGTGACCCTGACCATATAGAATTACACTGCTAGACCAAAAGGAAGAGTGGGTGGTGTTAATAAGAGCAGGAAATGGATAACTGCAAACTGCCCAAGGCTAAAGTATGACCACATGTTGTAGGATCAACGCAAGGACAGGGCTGGGAATCACTGACTTCCGAGGATGTGTGGGAAGAGTGTCCTAGGTGGTGGGAGGCTTCCTGCCTCTCAGGCACCCAGGTGAGCTTGTCTTAGACACTCACGTCCATGCCTGGGGGTCCTTCCCTGGAACCTCTAAGGCTGTGGCCCTGCATTGTCCCCCTAGTTCTGACTTCCGTGTCTGCGCATCTTCTTCTCTTTTATACCAATATATTAGTCCAGTCCTCAAAATATCGAAAGCTTTTGTTTCATTACACTTGGGAGAGATTTGAGGGGTTTCTTCTCCCCGGTTCTTCTTTTCCCTATCAAGGATAAAACAAGGATCTTAGGCAGGATGGTTTTTCTGTTTTGTTTTGTTTTGTTTTGTTTTTGTCATCTCTCGAGCCTTAGGATCAGCCAGCTCCCAGTCCTGGGGCTTCAGCAATCACTCCAAGGGGGCTCATTAAGGAATTAATTGCCACAATCCTGTGTTTTCCTGAGCAGGAAACCTGATGATTAAATGCTTTGTTTCTCCACAGCGAGAGTGCTCAGAACTGGTCAAATCCCAGTTAACTGGTTTGATTAACTCGGGGAATTTTTGGCATTGGGAGGAATTAAAAAAGTAACAGCTCTTATTTCCACTGAGTATGTTTCAGGATGAGACCCTTGGTCTTTGAGGCTGGTGTGTCTTCCGGTTCTGTTTGGGGTCTCCACCTCCCAATCACCTCTGCAAGGCCTGGGAGCTGTGCTCTTTACCTCTGAGTCTACTCTTCTCCCTTTCAGTCTGTATTTCTTTTTTGTACCTCCCATCTCTGCTGCGCACCCCAAGCTGGACTTCTCTGCATGGCAATAAATATTTTTATGCAAAGGAAGGATACCACAGTCTTGTTATAGCTGGTGCATTCCAGGTTACATATCAGTGGCTGCCTCAGCTGGGGACACTTCCTGAGAGCCGGAGACAGCTTTATTCTTTTGTGGATCACCAATTCCTCTCTCTGATATATTGTCTGCAAGGATGACTGTGGCTGTTGTCAGCTAGATTAGACTCAGGCTTTAATTGTGTAGCAGATGAAATTCACAGCTTCCTTTCTGGCTTACCATCCTAAGATGGAGATTGTGTTTTACATTGTAATCAACTGCTAAATAGTGATTTGCCTACTACATACACACAATGAGAAGCAGTGTAAAATTCTGTTACTAGCACAGACCCTGGACCTGCACAACCCAGCTCAGATCCTTCCCCTACTGACAGCTACACACTAATCCCCGACTCCTCAGTTTCCTTACCTATAGAGCGAGTAACCATATTTATCTCATGGAGTGTCCCAAGCATGAAGGGAATTCATATATTCAGATCACTTGCAAACATGCTGAGAGAATAAATGTACAGTAGTATCTCAGTTCATGAAGTTAATTCTTCCCACTATTCTGGTTGCAAACCAAACTGGGATGAGAACCGATCAAATTCAATGGTTAGGTTCAATGTTAACTTTATGGGGAAATTCAATTCTTGTTCAATTCAGTTTTTGACCAGAATCGTGGAAAGAATTAAGTTTGTGAACTGAGGTATTACTGTACATGAGCTGTTATTAATTCCAGTCTGGAATGTAACTCATATTTTATTTCTATGTCTATATTTGTCCTATTTGCTCTAGCTGTACAAATCTCTCTGTCTAGACCCAGTTATATTAAATCCATGTGTACATCTATTGAGTTATATCTGTACATGCACATAGAATAATCCTTAAAGATTGTAAAGAGAAATTATAGGACTGCTAGAATAATGCCACTTAGTAAAGTTGACTCTATTTTAACTTGATTTTTATTGATGTTATTATTTACCTAAAATATAGAGTTCGAATTGACTGCCCATCTTGCATTCTTGTCTGGGACACTTTAAAAGTGTCCTTTATGCAGCAAGGTGTTAAATAAATGACTTTAAGGAGGACATCAGCTGGGCAACTGCTTTCAGCCTTTCCTACTGGGTCTCTTGCACCATGAGCAGGGGCGACAGCTCTGAGAGGCAGCCAGGGAAGGTAAAGGACCAAGCACAACTGAAAGTGTCTGAAGCTCCGGGCCATGAGGTCAGTTAAGCCCCTCCTACTGCCCCTCAACACACTCTGCTACTCTTTAGACAAATCCATCTCCAAGTCTTTAGAATGTCACACCTTGTCATCCATTGTTTCTTGGACATTTGCTGCCTGATGTGTCCAGTGGGTACTTTAAGCTTAATTGCCTGGAAGCCAGATTTTTGCAGGGGCCTTTTGTGGGGATGTTGACCAGAGGTACGTATGAGATGGATATGCAGAGGTAAGGGACTTTTGGAGTCACATACCCAAAACCTCCCAGAATGCATGGTTAGAGATTAAAAGATAGCCTACAGGGCTACGAGTTCAAGTAAAATCCAAATACATTGCTTTGAGGAATAAATGCTCTGGCCTTTGATCTCCCCATCCTGTGATTTATTACTTAAGATTAGCCCTAAGGGCAGTCATGTAACAGACCACCCTGACCTCTCCCTGTCCCCTACATGAGTTCATGCATAGACATCTTTCCTTTGTCCTTTTATCTTTGCTTCCTGGTTCTATCAATAAAAAAGCCACAGAAGCTTCAGTTTGGGGTTGTCTTTATGAGACTCTCTCACACTGAGGGTTCTCAGTTAGTGGCAGTCCCTCTGGGCTTTCTTGGAGTTTGAATTGGACATTAACTCACAGTAATCTTTCACCCTCTGCACCATGCCATGGTCATGAACTGTGACAGGCCTTGAAATTAGCCACTCATCTATCTCAATGAACTACACCCATCCACCCTGATACCCAAGCCAGGAAGCTATGTGCCTCCCACATCGCGGCCCATGCCCTCACCCACCTCCTTTAGGTGCCAGGCCCTGTGTTTCCTGACCTGTCCCTCCTCTGTGAGCAGCTCCATTTTCATCCTGCCACCAGGCTCCGGGCCCTGACCTGCACCAGGTCTCTTAACCTGACATCCAGCCACCCTGGAGTCACCCCAAAAGGTCTTCTATGAGGAGACAGTGCTGTTCCCATCATCTCCTCTGTAAAGCCCTTCAGGGGTTCCCATAGCTTCCTTCCTGACCAAGCTTTTGCATTCTGGCCTTCATAAAATGGCTCTCACTCAACCACTATTCTGCATCCCTCCAAGGCCCCACCCAAGTCCTGATACCCCCACTTGCAGGTGCCAGAGGCAGGCTGTTCTCTATTCCCGAGCCTGCTCACCTGCTTGCTCTCTTGCTTTGACACCTTTTCCTCCAGGTAACCTCAGCTATTCCCTCATGGCCCTGTTTAGACCCCACAGCTGAGTGTCCCTTCCTGGGTCCCCTGGACTCAGCCCCCTACCCTGAACCCTGACAGGAGAGTGCAGTCAGGGGGGCTGTTCCCCTAGCATCCTGCGCCAAAGGCAGAAATGTGTCAGGTTTGCCTTTGTGGATGCATTTGTTGTTAAATTACAACTGTATACCATGTGCTGCCAGCTGGGCTCACTCGGCAATCAAATGGACAAGGTGGTATTGAGAGAACGACACCCCCCTATACACACACAATATCTTTTGGTGAA